CAGGGGAAGGGAGTGGGGTAGGGAGAATCGGATAATGGGAACAAAATCAAAATTGCATAGGTTATGAATTTTAGTGTTCCAAAGCACTGTAGGGTGAATATAATCCACAATCACCTATTATATATTTTATGAAGAACTAGAAGAGAGGAACTTGAAGTCTCCAAGCATAAAGAAGTGATAAGGATATGGAAATTCTACTTTTCTTTATTCAATCTGTAAATACTATAAGCATTATTGAAATATCACCTCTACTCTATGAATATATATAATTGTTACATGTTAATAGAAAAAAAATTATAAAAGGGCTTCCATTGACAAATTATGAGGCAATTTGAGCATTGTTATAAATAATGATATTAATAGATTTTTGCTCATTGAATAAAGTAAAATAAATATGATTCTGTTTTAATGAATAAGTAAAAATTTAATAAGTAGTTGTATTATGTGGTATTTACAGTAATATCATTTACTATTATTGATTATTGTTAATGACAATAACTGCATAAATAGATGGGGAGGAATGAAAAATTTTCCTTACAGATAAGCAATATAGAAAGAATGAGGGGGTTAAAGAATTATTAGTGGATTCTAAAACTAGTGGGTGTAAATTTTTTAAGGAGTGATATATTTCCATAATCTTAAATTATTTCCTTATGTGTTAGTCAGCTTTTCATTACTGTGACCCAAGTACTGACAACAACAACTTAGAGAAGGAAAAGTTGGGCTTCATAACTTCAAAGATTCAGTCCAAGATCAGCTAACTCCATTCTTCTGGACCTGACCTAAGGCAGAACATCTTGATGGAAAAGTGGTGGAGGAGAAAAGCTGCTCAACTTATGACAGCCAGAAAGCAGAGAGGGAGAAAAGGGGCGGGGCGACAGGAATGAATGTGTGTGCATGAGAGTGTCAGAGAAAGAGAAAGTTCATGCATGAAGGTATAACCCCAAGGTCAAAATAACCTCATAATTTGAAGAAACTCTTGTGTGGAAATTGTAGGCAGCCGTGCCCCATCAGCCTATAGTTACCACACAATTGTTTAGTCAAATGGATTAATCTCCTGATGACATTTTATTATTATTGCCCCAAAGCCTCACCTCTGAATCTTCCAAAACATGAGCTTTTTAAGGTTAACTAAGTGACATGAGTGAGGGAGGAATACTGGAACAAACTGACATTAGAGGAACATCAGTTTTGTAAATAGTTTCAGGGGAAAAGATTCATGTTCTTAGTTGTAATATTTAGATTCAATGTAAGACACCCCAAATTGAGAGATGTTTTATATTATTTTGAGAGGTAGCATAGTATAATGCTCAGGACTTTCTTAGTTTAAATGCTGGCTCTCTCCATTAGTAGCAGTTTGACTTTTGGAAAGCTAAATATGTATGTCTCAGTTTCTTCATTTGTAAAGTGGGAATGATAATAGTTCTTTTATGCTTTTAGATCTGAAATGTGTCCCCAGAAACTCATGTATTAGGAAATGTAGCAAAGTTCAGAGGTGAAAGATGGAATCATGAGGGCTCTGACTTCCTAAGTGCACTAATTCTTTTGAGAATTAATAATTGGATTGCACTTAGTGGAAGGTAGTGAAAATGATAAGCAGGTGGAGCATATAAAGTGCTCAGAATAGAGACTCACAGCTAATAAGCACAATAAATGTGCTTGCTGTCGTCATTAATTAATTAATTACATTCATTAATTAATTACATTAATTAAATACATTTAATTACATTTCTCAGTTACAGAAAAAAAATCACTTACTACACTTGTACTATATCTAAGCATCTAGATGCTCAGATTACAAAATGCTTTTAATTAAAAATCAAACAAATGCAGATAAAACAAAATCCTGTCCTGTTTAAAGGTAGTTTTAGGCCAGAAAATATTTAGCTTCCAGTCTGGTGAACAGTAAAGTACCTTATGTAGAGGCAAATACCTCAAACTATCAACATAAACCACTGAATGTGGAAATGGGAATTGAGGCATACAATCAGGTTGTAGCTGATTTTAGCTTTCGCAAGTATATCACTGTAAAGGTGGCATTTCAATTAGAATTTAAGTAGTATGTGTTTTTGAAATTGCACACTAAATTTGCAGAGAAATATTTGAAGGTAGTGTATGTTCTTAGTCACTTTATAGTTCTTTATTTTTTTTTATTCTCCTTCTCCTCCTGCTCTTCCTCCTCCTGCTCTTCTTCCTCTTCTTCCCATTTTCTCCTCCTCTTCTTTTTCTTTGGTGTGTATGTTTGAGTCTTTAAGAGATCAAACATTTATTTTGTACAATTATCTCTCTAAATAAATCACTATAGAAATCAAATTATGTTAGGTTAAGATGCAAAACTAAACATGATGATCTATCTCATAATTTCACTTTCAATGCAAAAATATATTTTTAAAAAAACATCCACATTTTAAATAATGATCCTAGGTGTGCAATTACCAAGGTGTGTGCAACTGTTCTGATGGTTACTGCCTCCAGATTGCCAAACAAGTGCCAGAAGTGCTTTTATGACTGTAAAATCGGGCAAGTACTAGTCTCTTTAGATAAAATTTTCAAATTTTTTATCCTCACTAAACTAACATTAGATTTTTATCACTTGAAGTGATACTAACATTTTTAAGGTAATCTGAGTTTTCTCAAAGAATGTGATCCAAATATGCCTTCTTATTCTTTCTCTTTTTTATAGTATTAAAATATTATAATTGAATCTGAATATCTTTGAAACTTTTTCCTTACTGATACCATTGACTTTCTCTTTTAGAATATTTTTCAGCTGGCCTCTATACGATTGAGATTTCAACTGTAAACAAATAGTATTTACTATATCTGTTACTATTACTATGTTTATGTTATAGAAGAAATGAAATAGAAGACAAAATTTTATTCCAAAGGAGTTTGTAGTTTAAATGAGAACAATCTGTATATAGCAGCTTAAGAGTTTACAGAAGGGATACCAGCACAAATTTCAGATTATTCTTTATTTTAGTGCCTGTCATTCATGCGTCCACTGAGTTAGCAAATACTTATGGAACTCTTCATATATACCAGATGTTGATCTGGGCACTGGGGATGTATAGCGAGCAAAGCAAATCCCTCACGTGCTGCTGAGACACTTAAGTTTAGGACTATGCTCAGTGCTTACAAGTGTCAGAATTAGGGTTATGAATTGAAGTTTCTTAATTTTTATGCTTGCATCCTTTATTAGCACCACAATGACTTTACATATAAAATTAGAGCCCTAAGATCAAAAGCCAACAATCTACTAAATAAAAACTGAATATATACAAATACAGTGAGATCTTTTAATAATCCTGTCCTTAGAAAATATTAAAATGATGCAAATTTGGATAACTTTGTGATTACACCATCTCAAATTACTTATTATTGCATCCTTTGACCCACAATTAGATTTTGTTGTAGCTTCTGTACCATGTTGAAAACTATGGAACCTTTTGGGAGTTTAGCTTTCATTTTTAGAAAAAAAGATTTTATACATATATAAAAAAAGATTTTATATATTATATATACACACAAACACATACATATATGTATTATGTATATATATGTAAGATACTATGTATGTATATGTGTATCTTTAAATATTATGATTCTATATTTTTTTTCTTGCTCCTATAGTAACAAAAATTCAGAATATTTTAATAAATTTGTTGCAACCTGAAAGTAAAATTGGATAGCCTAATTTTTAATGTACTTTTGTTTTTAGGTTCAGTCCCGGAGAAAGATTCTGGGAATACTATGAAGAACTGGCTTCTAGGTTTCTACATTGGTTCACCTTTTCTCATTATAATAAGCATAATCGTTGCGGTGTGGAAGAGAGTGAAAAAAAGTGGCTTTCCAAAGAAGAGGAATTCCTAAGTAGCTAGTAAGTTGAATTTCTGTTCTCAAGCTAACCTTTAGTAGCATTTGAATCTAATAATATGTAAGGTAATATGAGCAGCAACAACAATTTGTGTTTTACCAGGATTTTGAGTCAATATCTCATTTCATTGTGTGAGGTGTTTGTGAATTTTTCTTTTTAAAGATGCAGAGATTTGGGAGTATAGTTAAATAACTTGCCAAAGTCATCGCTCTGCCCTTAGCTCCCACCCAGTTAATCCTATCAGATTAATCCACTGATTGAGTTAAGACTCTCATAACCCAATCAATCCAGGTTTTCTACAGGAGCATCACTAGTGTTTATTAAAAATGTACATTTCTTATGATAGGACAAGCATAGAGTAATAGATATAGGTATTCCCACTTTTTAAAGGAAGGTTATAAAATATCTTCCCTGAGACTGCCTTGCCACCCATTCAGGGGCCCAGGCCAGGCCCAGGATAGGCCCCACCGACTAGGAGATCCACACTGAAGCTGAGATCCAGGCCTTCTCTACAGTCCTTTCCACACAGTAGCCTCCACCTTGTGACAATAGACAATGCCTAGAAGCAGGAACATCTCCAAGCGAGTATCCCAAAGCCAGTGCAGAGCCTGCACTTTCAATCCCATCTCTGAAAGAGGTTGCATCAATTTTGGGGGAACCCCACTACTGTCCCAAGTTACCTCTGCTATTTCTGCAACCACCTTACTTGAAGTAGCATTCATTCAGGGACACTGGCAGAGTCTGGAAGCCCAACGCCAAGGTGAGGTACTGGTAATCTGCCCAGATACTACAACATTATAGGGTAGAGAGCTGGGATTGTGGCTTAGCGGTAGAGCACTCACCCAGCACATGTGAGGTCCTGGTTTTAATCCTCAGCACCAAATAAAAATAAATTAATTAATTAAATAAAGATATTGTGTCCAACTACAAGTAAAAAATAAATATTAAAAAAGATTGCAGGGTATAAAGTGTAATACCTCAGATCTTCACTGCAAGCAAGGAACACACATAGATGATATGAAAAAACAAGGGAAGAAAGTGCCCCAAATAAATCAGAATACTACAATAATAGAATCCATGGACAGCACAGTTGATGAAATGTCAGAGAAAGAGTTCAGAATATACATAATTGAAATGATATGTGAATTAAAGCAGGAAATGAATGAGCAAATATTGATCACTCCAACAAAGAGATAACAGGGCAAATACAGGCAAACATTGATCACACCAACAAAGAGATAAGGGAGCAAATGCAGGTAGCAAAAGATTAGTTCGAGAAAGAGAGATTCTGGAAAAAACACACACACACACACACACAAATAAAATAAAATAAAATAAAAAATCCTTGAAATAAAGGAAACAATAGACCAAATAGAAAACTAAATAGAAAGCATCATCAACAGAATAGATCACTTGGAAGACAAAATGTCAGATAATGAAGACAAAGTATACAATCTGGAAAATAAAGTTGACCACACAGTGAATATAGTAAGAAACCATGAACAGAATATCCAACAATTATGGATAGCATCAACAGACCAAATCTAAGAGCTGTTGGGATAGAGAAAGGCACAAAGATTCAAACCAAAGGGATACACAATCTCTTCAATGAGATAAGATCAGAAAATTTCCCAACATGAAGAATGAATTGAAAAATCAAATACAGGTGGCTTACAATACACCAAATTGCAAAATTTCAACAGATCTATACCAAGACACATTATATTGAAAATGTCTAGCATACAGATTAAGGATAGAATTTGAAGGCCACAAAAGAGAGGCATTATATCACATATAGGAGGAGACCAATTCTCTCAACAGATTTTTCAACCCAGACCCTCATAGCCAAGGAGATCATGGAACAACATACACCAAGCTCTGAAAGATAATGGATGCCAACCAAGAATCTTACATTCAGCAAAATTAAGCTTTTAGATTTAATGATGAAATAAAACACTTTCATGATAAACAAAAGTTAAAAGAATTTACAGTGAGAAAGCCTACACTACAGAGGACCCTCAAAAAAACATTCAAGGAGGAGAAAATTAAAAACAACAATAAAAATCAGCAAAGGGAGGAACTACACTAAAGGAAAGGCCGATCAAAGGAGTAACCAAGTAAAAACCAAAATGTCCAGGAATACAAATCATATTTCAGTAATAACCTGGAATGTAAATGGCCTAAATTCATCAATTAAAAGACAGACTGACAGATTGGATTTACCAAAAAGACCCAATAATACGTTGCCTTCAATGCTCATCTTACAGGAAAAGACATTCACAGACTGAAGGTGAAAGGATGGGAAAAAACATACCACTCATGTGGAACACATAAACAAGCAGGGGTTTTCATCCTCATATCAGATAAAGTGGTCCTCAAAGCAAAGCTAATAAAAATGGATAAAGAAGGACATGTCAGACTGCTTAAGGGACACATACATCAAAAAGTCATATTATAAATATCTATGACACAACAATGGGAAATCTATGTCAAACAAACCCTTCTCAAATACATGAACCAAATAGACCACAACACAATAATACTGAGTGACTTTAATACATCTCTGTCATCACTGGATAGATTTTCCAAGCAAAAACTACAAAAAGAAAATATAAAACTCAATAATACTACAAATAATTTGGAATTAACAGACATATATAGAATAATCCATCCATCTATGAGCAAATACACTTCCTTCTCAGCAGCAAATGCATCCTTCTCTAAAATAGACCATATGTTATGCCACAAAGTAAGTCTTAGCAAACAAAAAAAAATAGAGATAATATCCTGCATTATATCAGACTATAATGGAATAAAATTGGAAATCAATGATAAAATTTAAAAGAAAAGCTGCTCCAACACCTGGAGACTAAAAAATACCCTATTGAATGACTCATGGATAACAGAGGACATCAGGGAGGAGATAAAAAAAATCTTGGAGTTAAAGAGAACTCCAATACAACTGATCAAAATCTCTGGGACACAATGAAGACAGTGCTAAGAGGCAAGTTCATTGCATGGAGTTCATTTATTAAAATAAGAAAAAGTCAACAAATAAACAACCTGACATTATACCTCAAAGCCTGGAAAAAGAAGAGCAAACCAATACCAAAAGTAGTATAAGATAAGAAGCAAATAAAATCAGGGTGGAATAGAGAATGTATTGGTACAACATATTTCTCAAAGAAATGTCATGTTTTTGGAAAGAACACTACAGACAGTTCATTTAATACTCAGTTGACACTCAGGGCCAGGAGACTTCATAGATCTATTAAGTGAAGAGTTTTCAAAATTATAGGACCTTATATATCTGTTTGTATTTCTATCTTCCTTCTCAAGGTTTGGCATCCAGAAGGCATTCAATTCATACTTTTGAATGAATAAATGAATGAATGTATAAATGTATTAAATGAAGGCACAGATAATACAAAAATAATTTTCCAAACTCAACTAATTATATTAGAATCCATATTGCACATTAGCTGAAACAGAAACCATTCTTAATTGTTCAGGCTTTTATCTTCCCTTTAAAGCAGAACAAAGCATGTCTTCATTTTAATAATTAATTTCACCAATATAATAACTCATCTGCTTCAGTGAGTTTGATGACACAGGAACAGTCCAGCTTTGACTTTGTGAAGAATATTTATACAATCAAGTAGGAATAATAAGCTATGATTATGTAACATCTTGCAAATTCTTCTCAGGATGTGGTTAATTCAGGTATGAAGAAAGTAAAGTCTTTCCTGATCTGGAAAGATCCAGTTTAAGTCAGATTTTGCATCAGTGTGACCAAAATACCTGACAAGAACAATTTAGAGGAGAAAAAGTTTGTTTGAGGCTTACAGTTTCAGAGGTCTCAGTCCAAAGATGGCTGACTCTGTTGCTCTGGGACCGTGGTGAGGCAGATCCTCAGGGGAGAAGGGCCCAGAAGAGAAAAATTGCTCAACTCATCCCAGGTCAGAAAGCAGAAAGAGAGAGAGGGGATGGAGCCCGGGGAATATAGGGAA